GTATAGAATGAACAATAGAGGGCCTAAAATCGAACCTTGAGGGACACCACACTTGATGGTTTGCATTGGAGAGCAAGCTTGATCGAAATGGATGAATTGCTGGCGGCAAGAAAAGTAGCTTTTAAACCACTGCAGAGCCACGACACAAATACCATAATGCTCCAATTTTGCAAACAAGATTTGATGGTCAAGAGTGTCAAATGCTCTGGAAAGATCTAGGAAAACACCCACCGTTGTTTTGTGTGGGTCGATTGCAGAAGCTATTTTATTTACCAAATGAATTAGTGTGTGTGATGTTGAGTGATTTTTCCGAAATCCAAACTGACAGCAGTAAAGTATATCATGTCTTAGCAAATTCTACTAAGCGATTGTAAATAACTTTTTCGAAAAATTTGGAAAAATTAGACAACAAAGAAATAGGTCTGTAGTCTACAAAAAAGTTAGGATCCTCTACTTTGAAGCTGGAAATAATTTTAGCGATTTTAAGTCCATTTGTCTGTGAAAATGCCTTTTAGCAGAGATAGATTAATAATATCTGCCAATGGAGCAGAAATTAGGTGAAATGAATACTTAATGATATGCATTGGGATACTGTCATAGCCAGAAGCCTTCTTTGAAGCGAACATGCCACAAATGCTTTCCAGTTCTCTAGTTGTGGTGGGCTTTAAGTTAATGGAGGGATGATCATTATCACCAAGATAAGAACAAAAAGGATTCACACTGGGTACAAATTTTGTTTGGCTGGGATCAATGTTTGTAAGGTATTTACAGAATGTGTCAGTGATCTCCATTGGATCTGTTAATGTTCTGCCTTCAGATATGAATGATGTGTGAAGAGATGACTTACTTTTACGGTTGCTAATAACCACATTTAACAATTTCCAAGTTGTTTTGAGGTCATTTCTGGCATTTTCAAATTTGGAGTCGTAGTATTTTCGTTTGGCAATGGGAATAAGATGGGTGAGTTTGTTTTTGTAGGCATAATATATCGTCTCAGAAGATGTGGAAGGTGATGTGACGAACTTTTTGTAAAGTCTGTTCTTCTTGTTAACAGATTTCAGAAGTCCAGGGCTAAGCTATCGACAAAAGAACTTGTTTACCTGTTTACCTTTGAGAACCTTTAAAGGGAAACAGGTGTTATAGATTCTGGAGTATTCTTCAATAAAATCATTATAGGCTTCATTGGGATCTTCCAATTCTTCTTCACAGCCCTCTTAGAAACTTGCAACACTAATACTAATTATAATTTAAGGCGCACAAATCACTTCTCGTATGTACAGTACAATAGCAACATTGGCAGAAATAGTGTAAGATATAGAGGACCCATCGTTTGGAATTTAATCCCTAGAACCATCACGGACGCTTCCTCCTATCAACTTTTTAAACAAAAACTTAGACAAGCCTCCAAGATACTGGACCAACTCCAATTCGAAAAATAGGCCTGTCTGATAACATCAAAACGATCAGATTTCTTATGTTTTTAGTTTTTAAATTTTAATTAATTAATTAATTTATTTTAAGATTTTATATAAATATAGTTTTTAATTTTTTAATTAAGTTGTCGGCAGGTCCACACCAGCCTTTAGGTTGCCGCAAACCGACCTGCCTTAACAAATAGTGTATGTATGTATGTATGTGGCGAAATGAGGACCATTTTGCGTTCGAAAGATTCTCGTTGAATTTATGCAAATTATTGTCATTGAATGTGCGCATTGCAATTTTTTCTTTCTGTGCTGCGCGTTAGAGTTGCGTCGTCAAAATATGCAGAAATAGGTCTGCAATGCGAATGTGTGCCTAAGAAAAGAGATAGTGTAATGGCCGGTAGGGAGTGGACATGATGTGACAAATTCTATGCGTTCCTGGCCACCATTAATGAATGGGAAAATTCGAAGTTATGTATCAGTGTCAACCTTTGACAGCCTAGAAATCAGTCCAACATGCACTTTATTTATTAAGTCATTTTGAGAGACGCTTGTGCTTCTTTGGTGCTTTTCCTGTCTTCTAAGGCCGTTTACATCTACTTACAGTGAGGTTTGTTTGGAATGAGCATGTTTGTATTTGTAAACCTATTCTAACAATCATTATGGGGGAAGTGGTAACTTATTCATGAGTTGTCTAAGTCTGCTTGCTTTTTTTTTTGGGATGTTTGGAGTGGTGAACTCAGTATAATACTGGTTGATTCCCAGCCTCATCCCCAGCCCGAGGCTGGCAGATTCCATTTGCAACAAAATTTGCTTGAGTGGAGTAGACTGCTCCACAACATTGTATTTTTCTTTATTGGAAAATAACAATTGTAATACATGTATAATGCTTATGATTATTTGTGGAAATTAGATGGAGAAGGAGTAATACATTAACATGGGGCTTGAATGTAACCATAATAAAATAACAGGATAAGTAACGAAACCAAATGAGATAGAATGTTACTGAATTAATATGTTGCTATGGGCATCTACTGTTTCAAGAACTAAACATTGCATGGCCAGTAAAGTACTTGTATAATACTAAGAAATTATGATCATTTGTTTTGTAAACAGCGGGAGAAGGTAATCATAACAGCAATGAACATCAATGTAATAGAGTTGAGAACACAAAAGCAACAAGAACGCAATGAAATAATTAGTGCTTAAAACAATCCCTAACAAAGATGGTATGTTATGGTGCTAGAAACTCAGACAACTGGGATATTGTTTTGTTTGTCATTGCACCATTACAGACAATCAATAATTGTTTTTTTCTGTCAAGTTACTAGAATTAATCTCAGTGGCCAAAGGAGAAGGAACTCTTCCAACGACAACAGCAACACTATCATTGTGCTATAACTAAGCTGGCAAAAACTGAGAAATAATTTTGGATGCTTTTTCCACAATCATTTTTTGAGGTCCAGCATGTAGCAGTTGTTGTTTCAACACTTTCGTGTCAATATCTGATAAGGCTCTGTCACTCTTGATATTGATTAAAAAGCTCTGGACAGCATCATTGAAAGCTGTGTATGTTGCTATTTTCTCCCCAACTTCAATAACGAGCTGGCAAACAAGTTTCGTCTTTAGCAAAGAAACTAAAGTCGTAATTTGGCAATTAGAGCATGTTATGGTGTCATCAGTAAAAGTTGACTCTTCTAACTTTCTGCTGCAAACTATACAAGAAAAATGTTGGTGAACATCAGTACCAGTGCAAGTTCCTGTTGCAAGATAATCATGCAACTGTGGAATAGTTTGATTAACATTTGGTATGTCACTGATTTTTGTTATTTTGGTGAACTCAATGGTGTTTACAAACTTAGAGTCATCAAAAATCTTTATTTTACAGTTTTCTATGTGGTAAGATTTTCCTGTATTCACTTTGTCTATGGTTTCTTCCTGTAGAACTAATTTTACTGAATTGGTTTCATTGGCAACTATGCAGTCTGCTTTGTACCTTGTTCTTTCTCCATGAACAATGGCTTGCTTGTTTTCAGACTTTGTCAATATCTTTACTTTGATATCAACGGTCTCATAAGGGTTTGCATTTAGAACTTGACTGATAGTGTAGAATCTGTTACTAAAAGATCCCTTGAATGGGAATTGCAGAGTGGTTGTAGTAATCTTGGATTTCTACGATATGATGTATTCAAGTTCTCTTAACCCTTTAACTCCCCAAGATCTCATTAGTAATTCACCATACTGTCTGTTATACATTTCTTGTGTTGTTAGTTCAGAGAAATTGGTATTGGATCAACTTGTAACCCCCTAATTGATAATTTTCTTCATTCTCATCACTTTTATGTTTGATATTGTATAGATATTGTAAGGAGAAATTCTGTCTTGGTCATTTGTGGGAGTTAAAGGGTTAAGATGTGAGTGAAATCTTGCAGATATTTTACTCTTTCTGGATTTGAAAGTGAAACTGATGGGCCACTATACAAGAAAACCGTGATAACCAGAAGCACTCACCAGAACAGGTTTTCATCTCTCAAAAAAAGACAAACTTTTTATTGCATTTTTGGTTTGAAACCCAACAATACTGCTTGCCATGACCAAACAGAGAGAAATTTGTTGGTACAGAACGTTCATTTTTAGTGTTTCTGTTAAAATGAAATCAGTCACAGCTTAACTGCATTGAAATTGACTTATTCAGGAAGTGTTGAACTACTACCAGCATAGCCATTGAATGCTGAAAAAAATGAGCAAGTAAATTGGTTGTATTCTTTGAAATATTTAAAGTGGTGTCAGAAAACAGACAACATTTTGGGGCACCAGGACCAATAGTTCATTCCATTTTATTTCAAATATAGTATCAGTCTGAAGACTGGACACAACATGAAAAACAACGATGAGTTTAATCTATTTAAATTAGTGTAATCAGTACAGTCAAGCAACAATTGAATCTGTGACCTGACCATTTGATTATGTTTAAAAAAACCCAAAAAGTATTTTCACTTAAGTAACCTGAAAAGACATCTTGAAAAAGAGTGGCAAATGTGACTACATGCTGGGAAAGTGGAATTGGTCACAATGATAGCAAATCACATAATACAAGCTTAATAGACTAAAACAGTCAAAATACTTTACTAAAACAGCAACAAATGTAAAAAACAATGCTTACAGGCCACAATAAACAATGTCAGCCATAAATGACCATAACCTTTTAAGAACAAGAGTTTACGAGGTACAGGTCTTGTGCCAATTTGTTTTCCTCTACACACTAACATAATGTTACTTGGGGGCCATTCTAGAGAGAAACAGGGGACAAAATCCAAATAGTGTCAAAATGGCAAATTCAGTTTTATGAAGAACAATGGGGAAGGTGGTCAAATATGGAAGGGTTATGTTTTTTTACCATTGGTTCTTTGATTGCAGTGGCTCAAAAGGGAGTGAAAACTTTTCTATAATCTGTGGCCAATTTTCACTAGTTGAATTCAAGGCCACCTGATAGCAAATTTTCTCAAGGCTGTACTACACTATATGCTTCAGTCCATAACCTGTTAATTTCATCACAACCAGTGCCTGGACATTCAAATATCAAATACCATTTTCAGCAAACACTTTCAGAGATATCGTGTCACAGTACTTGTTACAGGAGTGTTTTGATTTAAATTCAACAATTGCAATACAGGAAAGGTTGCCAGCACAGCAGTTGACCTCCTTTGAATCCAGTGATGCATTATTAACAAGAAGATCTGTTGTTGCAATTTCTGGATCGGACAACTTAAAAAAGGAACCCTGAATATCAAGCAGCATAAGCTTCTTTTCAGATATCTGATAGCTGTAATGCACAAGGCATTGTACCTTTTCATAAACCTCATCAATCTCCACTGATGGGGAGGGGATGTGGAAACCATTGTTGTTTACGTATTTGTGAAATTTGCCTTGAACAAACCCTTCAATGGTAACTGGTTGCTTTTTAAACACAGCAAAAAAACTTTGACATACTCAAATGTACCACCAAATTCAGGTGGTACGTTTTGAGCAAATAGTTTGGTTAAGTGCCTTGCAGCTGCAGTCATTTGCACTTGCTTTCTTGTATGATCCTCTAGTGACATACCCAGGTCATCCTTAATGGTCTTTACTGCTTCCTCCTGATACCGTTTAACCACCCATGCAGTTTGTGCGGCATCTTTACCAATGGTTGTAGCACGAAATGCATCTCTAAATGCTTCATGCGCAAATCTTGCTTCTTCAATTTCGAGTGTAAGTGAACCACATTTAAACCACTTCATTTCTGCGACATCAAAACTCTCCAGATCTAACGCTGTGATATTTGTTGCTGGTGGCTTGACGAGTTTACCAGCTTTCAGAAGGTCGTTAATAGACACTGACTTGGGGAAGACCATGGAATGCAAGCCAGGCAGTTTTCCAGATGTTTTCATTGGACTTGGTACGGATATCGTCACCTTAGCTGGTGCTAAACTATCCTCAAACAACTGCTGTCCTAGTTTTGGAGTGACATCAGTGGACTTCGCTGGAAGAAAACAAATAAAATAAACCTTTTTACCTTTGATCTGCTCAAGCTTCGTGCAGGAAGGTCCCCTGTCAGACGCCAGAGTATCGCATGAGCCCTCTGGAGCCTGATAATACTTCTTGCAGGCTTCTTTGATATTTGCGATCGTGAGATCATCATAGTCGCCGAAGGGAACGAAGTCCCAAGTATCTAAGGGCTCAAACTTTTTAAGTCTGCCTGAAGCGGTGCTGGACATATGCTGCACAAGAATGTCGTTTGGTACTGCACTTGCTTCCTTCTTCCCTTCACCTGCACCCGATTGCTTCATGCCCACTCGTGCCTCGAAATCTTCCCACCTTTCCTTTCCTTCTTTTCTCCATTTCATTTCCAGTTGAAACCAAACGGCACAGGATTATCATTGTCACAAAGAGCCAACACCAATGCAACCAACAGAAGAAACAAATGGTATCCCCACTGACTGTGAAGTTTCCTTGGAAAATCTAACACGGGCTGTCATCTTAGAAAACAAGGCCCAGTCCCAGTCCTTTCCATGTGGGATGATAACATTGGTCCATTCGAAGAAGTCAATTTTTTTTTCTGTTTTGTTACTTTGATAGTTTTTAAGATTTTTTTTCTTTTTTCAAATGCATTATCCTTTTTAAATTAAATTTTAAAACACACTTGCTTTTATGATTGATTTTTGCTTTGAAAATCAATATTAACTCTAAAACAGAAGTGAAATTGTAAATGAAATAAAGATTCAGTATACATTGTAAATAGTATTTGAAATGAAATCTATCATGATAATCAAATTCAACATTGGTTTTGAGTTATTGTTGCAAAAAATAACATGATAATGCTGGGCCACCATAATGGTGGCAGATTGAGCAAGAGATGACTGCTCTGAATGACTGGACTCAATCTGCACTGACTCTGCCGGCAAGGAGTCAGAAGAGGATAAAGATAATCCTTCAGAATGTGTTTGTAGCAAGTCTTGTGATTGCTTAGACATTGCTCCGGAAATTTCTTTTGTGGAATAATAAAGATGACATTTAGGTTAAAGATTATCAATGCTAAATAACTTAAAGATGAAACAAGCATAAAAATGAATGAGTTTTTCATTTTACTTGCCAGTGTTAATGTGAGAGCTGTAATGTTTCAATGTTGACAATAGGAGCATGAAATATCTAATTATTATTATTGCAGTTCTTGTCAAGTGTCATGAAAACAATAATTAAAGAAATCATTCCCAAAATTTAGATACTTATCACAATATTTGTAAAAAGAACTCCACCCACATGTAATTGGCTAGTTGACTGTGGTGTTTGGATGCTCTACGGAAATCCAAATAACTTTATGACTAGTGAAATATGTTTCGAATGTTCCTGTTACTGGACAGTCAGTGATGTTTCTATTTCGATACAATCGTCCCTTTGTTTTACTGCGCGTTCACACCAATAGGGCAAATAACACTTTCATACTCGCAATGTTCTGGCTATTCAACACATCTTCTCATAATACATAGATTATTTCTTAAATTTTAGTTCAAGGATGAAAAGGTTTTACAAATTTAAACATTTTTACCATTATATTTAACATAGATTTATCATAGATTATTATTGTCCTTTTGCATAACATGGCGGGCGGGCACGTTTTCTGTGCTCCACGAAATCTATGTGTATTCTTATTCACCTATTTGTCCTTCACCACCTTACTGAATGTAGACTGTTCCTGGAGTATCTTCTCTACACCTGGAAAGATTTTTTATACTTCCCAACAGCTTTCCACGCCTACAATACAGAGCGAAGGAGCATCCAAACTGAAATCTGCTGGATCGCCTCGTTCAAGACACAACCTCGTGAAAGTTCATCTCGGCCTTACTCTGATGCTCTACTCTGCCTACACAATGATGATGATTTGTTTGTCCAATGACGTATCTTTGAATCCTGGACCAACAGTTACGCAGTCTACAAATCTACCTACAATCCGAGGCTTTAAAATTTCCCATCTCAACGTCCGCAGCATTATGCACAAGATGGATTCCATTCGCCTTCTCCTCAAAGACAGTACT